GTGTGTGTGTGTGTGTGTGTGTGTGTGTGTGTGTGTGTGTATCTTCTAGGGCTTTGCTCATAATAGGCAAGCACTCTACCACTGAGTTATCCCACATCCTGAAACAGTCACAGTATTTAGTGCATGGTGCTAGGGATTGAACCCAGGGTCTCATATACGCTAGGCAAGCACTCTACAACTGAACTACACCCCTAGTTGCTGCTATTTATTATTATTGTTATTAGTAGTAGTAGTAGTAGTAGTGGTAGTGGTGCTAGGGGTGGAACTCAGGGCTTTCCACATGATAGGCAAATTCTCTACCACTGAGCTATATGCCCAGTCCTGCAAAGTAGATATTACTGACCCTTTTTCACCAGTTGAGGGAACTAATTTTCCTAAGGGCCACAAACTAAATCATATATCCAGAATTTGAAGTCAAGCTGAATTTCTCCCTTACCATGCTGTCCTTCAGAATTAAGCCAGCCTTGAAGGTAGCTCATCACCCAAGACACAACAGAGTTTCTGCCACTGAACTCTAGCCAACAGCAATACCATTAACTTTTTTTCTGTGTAACTTTTGGGGAAGAGAACAGACTGACTAAGGAAAATAAGAAGAAATTATAGGCTGACATACTTTAGTATTTATTTGCAATGATGGTTACATATTTCTTAAAACTACAAAATAGATAAGTGGAGATAATATTGTTGTTGTTGTTGCTCCCAAGCCTCTCTTTTGTCATATAAGTACTCCTAGCCTAGTTTTCTAATCAGGTTCCTGGAATCACTTTGTCATCCCTGTATTTACCCATTTTATTTCACAGGCAAATAGGGTTGTCATGGAAACCTCCGAGGCACAATTTACCATTTTGTGGATGTATGAACTCAGTGTAAATTGCTCTTTTGCCCATAGTTCTTTTACAGAACATGACCCTTAGGAATGCACAGGGCCATTTGTAAAAGCCTTCCCTCCAATGTTCCATCTGAAGCAAAATGTCAGGGAAGGAATTGGAAGCATGGTAGTGTTGAAGTTTTGTTGACCCAGGTGATCTTCCTTGGATTCTATGTTCCCTGAGCATAATGGTGGTGCGCCTTTTTCACTCAGAGCCTGGTGTTTCTAGGGGCAAACCTAAATAAAGGTCTGACTAGGAAAAGCATTAGATGGCCAGACATGGCAAAGCACAGAATGACAGAGAGTGATTGACAGTGACTATGGCTAGATTAGGACAGTTTTTTCATTGAAGAAAAAAAGATAAAGAAGGCTACCACTTTGCAATAACCCAGGCAAAAAACAATTCAGGTCTAGCTGGGTCTATGATAACTCCACAGCTCTATCTTCTACACTTTCTCCAGGGCTGAAGCTCAAGTTGTAGAGGCCAGGTGCTGAGAAACAAAAGGCTTTCTTCATTTTCATCCTTCCATCCATCTCCAGAGCCTAGAAGCCAGGATGGGTAGGAAATTTTCAGTGTGCATCATTCCTTGTCCCTAGCATTGAGTTTTTGTGTGAGAAAGCAGAAGGTAATAATGGGGAGTCTCTTGAAAAGTAATTCTGCTGCCTCATTTATGTCACTGATCCCCAAATGCTAAGGGGTTTGGGAGTTTTTGCCAAGTGCAGACCTGTTATCCTTCAGGCTATGGTCATGGTGATCTTCTGATTTTAAATAGCTCTAAAATATGGCAAAAGTCCCTAGAACCCCAGATGAAGCTCTCTTAATCTTGGTCACCTTGCACATCTCTAAATAAACTACTAAAGAAGAGTACATTCTAGAAAACCATAAGCCTATGGTCCGAATATGCCTAGGCTGAAATAATAATAAACACTGAAGCATACTTTCTATTAATTACTCTATGAAATGGGCAGCATTGTTATCCTACTTTTTTAGACGGCAGTATTGAGGCACAGAAAGGTTGAGTGATTGGTTCATGGTCAGACTACTACTTTGTAGCAGAGCTAGAGTTCAAATTCAAGTTGTCTGACACTAAAGTCTATATTTTTAACCACATTGCAATACTGGCTATGAAGGTTCTGGGTGACCTTGGATGGCTCCATGCTTGCCATAACCTTGTAACTAGACCAATACCCTCTAGTTTAGAGTACCCTGAATTAGCAGCAGGAGTAGTAGTAGTAGTAGTAGTAATTATGATCGTAAATGCACATTGAACCTTTAATGCACCAGACACAATAATATTTTGCTTCTATGAACTCAACAGCCATTACAACAACAGTGGGGTTGGGTGGAGTGGTTCTCCTGTTTATAGATGAAGAAATAGTGGGAATAGGTATTCAATTCAAGGTCACAGAGTTTGGAGAAGGTAAAATTGGATTCTGGGCATCTCTGATTCGAAAATTCCACTGTTCAACATTGCTTTCCTGTGAGTGCAGTCCCAGAACTGGTCACATGTAGAAGGGGAACAAATTGGAAGACACAGGCAGCATTTTCCTTGAGACATTTGGAATCAATAATAGGCAAGGAATTGGACTTACATATAAAAGAGAATGTTAATGACTTCAAATTATGCTATAAGATTCTAATTCTAGAAGACTTGAGAGCCGAGAAAAGAAAGCAATCATTGAGAGAATGCTTCCAAAGGAGGACTTCCTATGGGGAAGATGAGGGCAGAGCTTTGCCCTGAATAAAGAATAAGAATAGCCAAAGAGAATAAGAGCAGATAGAACTGCAGAAACAACTCAGGAACACAAGAATGAATTTTGTGAACACTCAATAGGATAAAGAGCTAATCCTGAAAGGTTCTGAGGAGTGACTTTAAAATGGTAGAATGAAAGAAGATTTAATAATAGTAATAATAATAATAATAATAGCAGCACTTAAGCACTTATTCTATGCTCTGAGCATTTACTGTTAACATGCATTATGTCATTGAATCAATACGACTTAATACCACTCAATACGACACATACTTCAGTTATCCCCTTTCCTTCTACAGATAAAGAGTGAAGCTCAATAAAGTCAAATCACAAGGTCCCAAAGCTAGGAAGCGGCAGAGCCAGAAGTCAAACCCAGTAATTGTGGCTCCAAAGTTTTTCACTCATCCAAAGACCGTAAAAGCCAAGCTGAAAGCCAAGCTAAGTGGGCAAGGACCTAGCACTATGTTATGAATGTAAGAGGTACTTATATGGATTGAAGAATGAATGAAGTGATGAGCATTTGATGACAAATATTTTTCTAACCTAGGATCTCAGAAGCATTCTAGTTCCAATTTATTATATAGTCTTAGCAAGTATTCTGTTGTGTTTGGCAAATGAGTCTTCGCCCACTTATCTAATTTCAATAAATTTTGTGGTGACATGGGCATTTCTACCAAACAAGGAGAGAAGATACCTGCCCTCAAGACTGGAGTTGCTTATGATCTCAAAGGATTCCTTTGTTTCCAGTGACTAGGGTAGAGCCTACCATCTGTCACTTGGATCCCAAAACACAATCTACAGCTATAGAACACTTTCTGTTATTTCCCTTACTCATCTTTTTCCTTCCCCTATTTAACTCCCCTAGATACAGCTTATTGAAAGCATTGGCCGAAAACTTTCTGTCCTAAGGGAGGCCCAACGAGGGCTGCTGGAGGATATCAGTGCCAATTCGGCCCTTGGAGAGGAGGTGGAGACCAATTTAAAGGCGGTCTGCAAACCCAATGAGTTTGACAAATATCGTTTGTTTATTGGGGATCTGGATAAAGTGGTTAATCTGTTGCTGTCACTCTCTGGACGACTGGCTCGGGTGGAGAATGCTCTTAACAGCATCGATTCAGAGGCCAACCAGGAAAAGGTAGAGTTGGAGTCTCCATGGGTGTGGATGGAGGGAAATGCCATCTGTTTTTTTTTCCCCTCGGGGCTCCTTCTTTGTGGCTGGGCTTTTGTGGGAGGCAGAATAGCATAGTGCTGAGTGTGAATACTGGCTTGTAAGTGCCCTGAAATTCTGGCTCTACCACTTATTAGTTGTGTGACCATGGGTAACTTACTTAACATTACTCTGTCTTAATCTCCTCATCTATAAAATGAGATGCACACACTGCCTGCATCACAAGGGTGCTGTGAGGATTAAAGTAGATAATCCATGTTTATTACTTAAAACAACCTCTGGGTCAGAGGTTGTAGCTCAGTGGTGGAGCACTTGCCTAGCATGCACAAGGCCCTGAATTCCATCCTCAGAACTATGAAAACAAAAACAGGACTGGGAAGAGGGTAAATACTGAATCACTGCCAGCTGCCAGTAGTAGTGATGGTGGTGGTGGAGGTGGTAGTGGCGGCAGCAGCAGCAATTTTGCCTCACTCTCTCTAGAGCTGGGAGGGAATGTCTCACGGGAATGCTGTCAGTTTCACAGACTAGCTCACTCTGCATCTATCTTGAACCAAACTGCTTTACCTTTCCCTACACAAGTAGCTTTGAATCCACAATAAGAGGCACATACGCATGTGTATACATGTACACAGACACATACACTCACACATATCCACTTCCACAGAAACACACACCATAAAAAAGCATTGCTGCATTCATGGTTGTTTCCCAGATGGAAGGGACAAAAGTTGGCTTTGTTAAAAACTACTACATACCAAACTCAGTAGTGATCCACAGATGAAAGGAAGCTTTAGAGATGGAGGAAGGCAACTGCACTTCCCCTTGAGCAGAGATCCAGTCATGTTTGTACTCCTCCAACTACAAGAAAGAAAGGTTTTTTGCATAGAGGTGGATTTTACAGCAGGACATTTAGGACTATTCAGTTAGCAGAATGGATAGCTGCTTTGATCCTGCCTCCCTGGTGAGGCACTGCTAGGCAGATGCCTGGTAATCAGAATAGCCCTTAATCACTCCTCTGCTTCCCCAGTTGGTGCTGATAGAGAAGAAGCAGCAGTTGACGGGCCAATTGGCAGATGCCAAGGAGCTGAAGGAGCATGTGGATCGTCGGGAGAAGTTGGTGTTTGACATGGTCTCCCGCTACCTGCCTCAGGACCAGCTCCAAGATTACCAGCACTTTGTCAAGATGAAATCTGCTCTCATCATTGAACAAAGAGAGCTGGATGAAAAGATCAAGCTGGGGGAAGAGCAGCTCAGATGTCTCAGGGAGAGTCTACTCCTGGGGCCCAGCAATTTCTAAATCACCAGCAGTCTGCCACAGCATCCCTGACAAGCCACAGTGGGAATTGCTTTCATCTTCAGTAGCAGTTTGCTAGCAGTAGATAACAAGGAGTTAGCAGTTTGTTCCAGCGCTATTACCCTGGAAATGTCCCACTGTTCCTTCCCTAGCAGTGGTCCCAACCAGCAAGGATACCCTAAGGAGGTGCCAAGCTTCTACTTAGCTGTAGCAAGATGTGACGGTGCAAGTGTACTCTCCTTCCCACAGTATGTGTGGGCAATCATTCACTGACCATAGAACCAAAAAGTGCCTTCATTCTTTGTACTAGGATACCAAAGACATCCTGAACTCTCAACCCACCCACACCATAATCAGATTTTTGAGGATCAGAGAAAAGCTCCTTTCAGCCCTAGGGCTTGTGGTCCAGCCATTTGCTGTGGAGATCTGGCTGCCTTGAGAGCATTCGTCTATCACCAGTTTCAGGGACTCACCCAAGCTTTGCAGTGGGAAGCACAAAAGGAGTGATTACATAAGAGAATGTGAGCAAAGGTTGGTTATCTCCAGGTGGCCCTCAGGAAAAAGCCAGGCTTAACTATTTCTACTTTCCTTGGCAGCTGGTTGACAGGAAAGAAGCCTGCTTTCAGCCTTGGCTAGTGTGACTTCCTGTATCCTAAGACTTTAGGCCTGGAAATTTTTATTTCATTTTACTCTTGCATTGTTGGGAGTCACAGGTGCCCATCCCAGTGCTTCACACTATAGGCCCTTTATTATAGCTGACTTCAGGATATAGATTTCATTATTGGTGGGGAAGTTCTTATTATATTTTAAATGGCCTTTTAATTTTATTTATTTTTTATGTTTTGATTGATTTTTTTTCTTTTTTAGCTAGTAAGGTGAGAAGAGGGAAGCTGGAGAGGGAAAAGTTAGCCCAGGAAAACATTTTCTGCAGATCAGCCTGAAACCACCATGGCTAGGTAAGCATGTGCTAAGGGATTCAGTCCTTCCCAATATAGCTACAAGTGTCTAAGAAAGGTGTTCTCCCCTGGAGCTCATAGCTTCCCTATCATGACCAGGCTGCTTGCTTCCCTTGAAGTCTGGGTGATTGTGAGCTTACTTTTCCCCAGCAGCATTAAACTTTTTCTTATATATTTTTTAAACCAAAGAAATCTCCTGAAACTGGCAAAGGTCACCCATTTCTGTAATGGTTCCAAGCCACGAATAAGTGGAGGTATGTTTAGGATGTGTTCCTCTAATAACTGCTTTTCAGCCTGTGGCCTGGCTCAGGGAACCAGAACTTTGGTAGTTGGAAGCTGCAACCAGGACCAGCTCCCCAGAGAAAACTATGATCCAGCCATAGAGCATCCACCTCCTTACCCCGAGGAATATGTTCCAAGACCCCCAGGGGATACCAGAAACCTTATATACACTGTGCCTTTTCTTACATGCTCTGTAGCAATGCCACATAGAACTGGAGTTAATCTGTCCTCCCATGTTCTGTGTTCTAGTGCCTCTTGGTTTACTACTCTTGTGCTTTGGGGTCATTATAAGTACAAGAAGGGTTACTTGGACACAAGCACTGTACACTGCAATACTGCAACAGCCAATCTGGTAACTGAGATGGCTACTAAGTGATTAAAGGTGGGTAACCTACATGACTTGGATATACTGGACAAAGGAAAGATTCATGTCCCAGGTGGAATGGAACAGAATGGAACTACATTTTATCATGCTACCCAGAATGGCATGCAATTTAAAGCTTATGCGTTGTTTATGTTGGGAATTTTCCATTTAATCATTTTGGGCCATGGTTGACCACAGGTAACTGAAACTGCAGACAGTGAAATCGAAGATAAGGGGAGACTACTGAACAAAGAACTCAAGCTACTGCTATTGCCGAGGCCCTGACACTGGTAGCCAGCTTATATCCTTGAAAAGCCCTCAGGTGGGCAATGGCAGGAAAGGAATGTTAAACTATACCCTGCCGTGTTACCTGGCTCAATTCCCTGTGACTTACTGATTGAGGTCAACCTTTCATATCACACAGCCCACCTAAGCCCAGCCTAACAAAACCCTAGCATCCCTTCTTGTACTTCTGAGTTCCTTAGGATGCTTGGAAGTTAACTTGGTAGTAACAGAGGTACCTCATCCAACCAAAGAAATCGCCAAAGAGCTTTGCTACTGCTGCTACAAGTACTGGTTACTGGCTTCCGTTTCCTCTACATTGTATCTGAAAACAATGGGAGAATCTTGACTAGCAGGGTTTGTGTGTGTGGCAGGGGGAATGATCCTTTCTGTGGGGCCCTGGCTATACTCTTAGTACTGCTGCCAGTAACAAGAACCACTGTTAGTGTCAACCCTGTCATTCTGCCCTCCAGTGGAAGATTCTACCCTTCTCAGGAAGGCTGATGGCTTACGAAGGGCTAGGTTTACCTGAATGAAGGTTGAGGAGGTCAGGGAAGTACTTTGAATAAAGGTCATAGTTACCGTCTTTTTTTTTTTTATTAAGTCTTAGGGACAAACAAAAAGCAAATCGAAATGTCTTATACTAGAGAGGGAGTGAGGCCAATGTATTCCAGCATTCTAACTTTTTTTTTTTTTAGCCAGAATACATTTTTGAGACTATGGGGCTGGGGGAAAGAGTGATCATTTACCTGGATATTATGACCACAATCTGGATTTTTTTGTGTGTGTGTGCCAGGGATTGAACTCGGGACCTTGCACTTGCAAGGCAGGTGGTGGAACCACTGAGCTAAATCCCCATTCCCACAGTCTGGATTTTTCTAGCCAATGTTAAACTAGTTATACCTAAGGTGTGTGATATCAAAAATACTATTAACACTATCATTTTTGTCCCTCATCTCACTTCAGAATTGGAGTCAGGATACAAGGATGCTATTTTTTACATAAAAGGAGTTTCCAAAAGCTCTTAAAAACTTAACCCTAAAACTATACTGAGCAGCGATGCCCTGTAAACAAAGGTGAACTACTAAACAGACCCTGGCATGCCAACTCTTGCTGTGGTAGTCCCATTGTGAATAATAGTGCTACGTTGCTGGCATTACTTGTCTCTTCCCTATCCTCAGTTTCTGGGCTATCCCACTTCCAATGCTTTTGAGGGGGTGGCAATTTGGAAGGCAGGTCAACAGATTTCTCTAAAGACAGTTATTGGTCCAAACATGTAATCTGTTCCTTCAAATACTTATAGAGGTCCCAGAGAGTAAAAAGTCAGCAAGGTGGTGAATAGATAGAAATGAGTCAGTGCAAGGGTTCCTGTCACATGCCCCTCTTACTTCTCTCATCCCTAAGACTCTGAATAATTGGGTCTCCCTGAATCCCACATCCAGAGACTCAGCCAGGATATAGAAAAAAACGCCCGAGTGGAATCCAAGATAATGAGACAAAGACACTAAAAATAAAGCCCTAGAAAGGGAGAGATTAGAAGCAGAGGAAAGGCAGGAGGGTGAAATGATGCAAAGCTTTCTTTCATGGTCAGGTTCAGATTCTGTTTTCCATTTAACCTCATGTTAAATGTGCCCCCAAAAAGCTGCCCCCGGGTCACTAGAGTCACATCCTCAACCCAAGCCTCCATGAAGGTGCTGCTGTGCCAGTAGCAGGTCCCAGATGGGAGAAGCTGGGCACATTTATGGCCATTTCCACCCATCTAGAGCTTTGGCAACTCCCACTGTCTTTGCCAGAGAGTTGTCTATGCCAATGGTATTTCTGCAAGAGCATATTGTATTATTTGAAGATTAGTAGATCTTTAAAGGGGGGGACAGGGGCAGTTTGTGTAGATAAAGAACCAGTGTTTGTTGTACAACTGTGGGGGGTTATCTATCCCATGTAAAGCTATTATTTTTTTCTGAATCTTATTGTTTCTGTATTTGTGTCCTCCACCACTCCCTTCTTGGCTGACATAGATATGCCTGCCAGATTGTCATCAAGGGTGATACTTCAATAAAAGGTGCTAAGGACAAAAATAATCGACTCACATGTTTTGACTCAGGTAATGGAAATCCCCTAAAATTCTGCTGGACAGTATTGGAAATGAATTTGGTCACCTATCCATCGTATTTCATAAATACCTATATGACCAGAGCCTTACTCACATTCCAAAACTCTTACCCTAAACTCTTAGGGATGGTATTCATGCTGTATCATTCATCATCCCCAGGAAAATAGGAGAGTCTGGAATACACTTCTTAGGGGAACAGCTTTTAGACATCTATTCTAAGAGTTCCCTGAATAGAAAGCACAGAGTTTATGCCATGGATATTTCTATTGTTACTACAAGATGGAAACATGTTTGTTTTTCTACTGGGAAATACCTCAGAACTACAATACCTGTCCTTTAGTTCACTGATACGTTTTTTTCCTCTATGGTTAGTTGTATTGGTCTATCTTTCTGTTTCTACAATAAAACACACGAGGCTTGACATATTTATATTGAAATAAGGTTTACTTAACTCATGATTTTGGAGGTTCAAGGGCATGGTACTAGTATCAGCTTAGCTCTGGTAAAGACCTCATAGTGGACAGCACCATACTGGTAGGACCATATGCAAGAAGGAGCAATCCCATCACTGTTCAGAAAGCCAAAGAACAATTCAGTTGTCAGATTCATGTTTTTATAACGAGTTGCTCTTACTAAAACTAACTCAGGGGTCCCATGAAAACTATCCTAACCTTGCTGAAGAAGTGCTCCCAGTGACCTATGGAACTCCCACTAGGCTCCACTTCTTAATATTGCCACACTGGGAACCGAGCTCCAAGTACATAAACTCTTGTGGGTCAAACTCATGCCATATACAAACTGTAGCATTAGTCAATAGTAACATCACAATTAGTCTAACCCATCATATTAAACGTAGGAAAATTCAACAATAGAGGTAATTTCAGGGTAGACCTCAGCAGTATGCAGAGTCCTGTTCTAGTCTAGCCTGATTAGCCTTCTATACCTCCTCCAATGTTGGGTTCTGTCTATATCATCTTACTTCTAGCTGATAGTTGAGCATCTCCTTCACTCTCAGCTCCCTGGAAAGCAAGGGAGCTGTTGAGTTCTCCAAAACAACCTCAAAGTTTAGATCCCAACATGTTCTATACAGTAATTCTGATGCTGAAAGGCTTGCTTTTTTCCCCTATCCCAACTATCCTCCACATACTTCAGATATCCAGATGTGGGAGTGTGAAAAGAGCTCACTTTTAGCACTAGAATGAACTGTGTTTAAATCCTGATTCTGCGTACTCTGTGATCCTGGATAACTTTCTCAACTTCTGAGATCATTTTCTTATCTATAAAATGGCAATAATAATAATATCTATATTTCAGGGTTGTTGTAACTTGAAAATAATAATAAAAGCTACAAGCTATCTGCTGAGGGGTTGTTAGGCAGAATCCCAGGCCCCATCTCAAATTCCTTGACAACAGTCTGAACTTTAACTAGATTTCCAGGAAATTCATTTGCATACTCTACATTAGGAAGCACTGACCTGTCACAAACATACTCAATGCATGGTAACTATTCTTATAGTCTTGATTCTTCCCTTATCCCAGACATATTTTTGCTCTTTTCATTGCTGGCAATTGCCCGGTAATGTTGCAGGATACAAAGTTAATATATCTCTAAGTCCTTTTGTGCTGCTGCAACAGAATACCTGAAACTGGGCAATTTATAATAAAACAATTTTGGTTCATGGTTCCGGTGAGTGGGCCTGGCACCTGGAAAGGGCCTCTGTATCGTGCCATGGTGGAAGGACAAAGAGAAGGTGAGAAAACAAGAGATTGAACTCAAAAGCCTCAGGCACTTTTATAATCAGCTTTAATCCATTCATGAAAGTGGAGCCTTCATGGTTAAACATCTCCAATTAGACCCTACCTCTCACACTGTTGCACTGAGGATTAAGTTTCCAACACATGCCTTCTCACAAGCACATTCAAACCATAGCAATATACAAAATCAAATGATATTAAAAGCATAAGTCCTAGACATTCCACCACAAAGAAATGATAGACATTTGAAGTGATAGATATAAGTTACACTGATCTGATCATTACACATTGTGTGCATGTATAAAAATGTCACACTGTACCCCATAAGTATATACAATAATTTTATTTCAATTAAAATTAAAAACAAAATTCAAAGATTAAAAACAAAGCAAGCATAAAATACTCAAGAATAAATTTAATGAAAAAAATTTAGACTTTTACACTGAAAACTACAAAATATTGTTGAAAGGAATTAGAGAAGTTCTAAATAAATGGAATGACTTTATGGTCATGGATTGGAAGATTTAATATTTTTACTATAACAATATATACTCCAAATGATCTACAGCATGCTAGCTGATTTCTTTGTGTAAATTGACAGGGTGATCCTAAAATTCATATGGAATTTGGAGGGATCCAAAATAGCTAAAACAATTGTTACAAGAACCAGAATTGGAGAACTTAAACTGCCCAATTTTAAAATCCCACTGCAAAGCTACAATAATCATGAGAGTATTGTACAGGCATAAGAATAGACACACATACAAATGGAAATGAATAGAGTCTAGAAATAAACCAGCAGATTCATGGTCAGTTAATTTTCACAAGGGATGTCAAGATAGTAAAGTGAGGAAGAAATAGTTTTTTAACAAATGGTGCTGAGACAACTGAGTTATCTACACAGGGGAAATAAAATAAAGTTGTACCCTTTCCATATACCATACACAAAACAAAATCAAAATAGATCATATATCTAAATATAAAAAAATTATAAAAAAATTAAAAGAAAACAAAATTAAATTCTCCTGACATTGAATTAGGCAATGTAATATAAACAGCAAAAGAAAAATAGAAATAAATTGGAATACATAAAAATTAAAAACATCTTCTGCTGCAAATGATACCATCAAGAGAGTAAAAAGACTGTCCATTTAGTGGAAAAAAATATTTGCATATCATATATCTAATAATGGACTTTTCAGAATATATAAGGAACTCTCTACTCAATAATAAAAAGAAAGATAACCAATTAAAAATGGGCAATACAATGCAGTAGAGTGTTGCCAAAGGAGAAATTATAAATATACTTGGGCTGCCATAATGTAATACCATAGACTGGGTAGTTTAACAAACATTTGTTTCTCATAGTTCTAGAGGCTGGAAAATTCAAAACCAAGGTACCAGTAGATTCAGTGTCTGGTAAAGGCCAGAGTCCTGTTTTATAGATAGACCCTTTCTTGCTATATCTTGTCATAACAGAGAGATGTAGGACCTATCTTCTCATAAAAAGGTACTTATCCCATTATGAGGGCCTTACTCTTGTAACCTCATCTAAACCTAATTGCTTCCCAAAGGCCCCATCTCAAAATAGTCACGTTAGGGACTAGGGCTTCAACATACAAATTTGAGGCCACAAACAGTCTATAGCAATATGCAAATGATTAATAAACACTGAAAAAAGTGATCATCATTACTATTCTTAGGGAAATACAAATTAGAATCATAATGAGATACCACTTCACACCCAGTAAGATGGTTATAATGAAAAAGTGAAACAACAGCAAGTGTTGGTGAGGATATGGAGAAACTGGAATACTCAAACATTGTTGATGAGGATATAAATTGGTACAGCAACACTGGAAAACAATTTGGCAGTTTCTCAAAATGTTAGAGTTTCCACATGACTCAGCAATTCTACTCCTATGTATATACCCCAAAGAATTGAAAACAGATGTTCAACAAGAATATGTACATGACTGTTTAAATCAGCATTATTTGTAATAGCCCAAAAGTGGAAACAACCCAAATGTCCATCAGCTGAGGGATGGATACAAACTTTGGTATATCTGTGCGTTGAATATTATCAAACATGAAAATCAATAACGAACTGGTACATGCTACAACACGAATGAACCTTGAAACTACTATGCTAAGTGAAAAGAGCCAATAAAAAAAGACCACATAGTGTATGATTCCATTTATATGAAATGTCTCAAGTAGAGGCTTAGTGGTTATAATATCTATAGGAGTTTAGTGCCTTTTAAGGGTTGAGAGTTTTGGGGAAATGAGGAGTGATTGCTAATGGGCATGAGATTTCTTTGAGCTCTGATGAAACTATTCTAAAATTATATTGTCATCGTGGTTGCCCACCTCTGTAAATGTACTTTAAACTCATAGATTATATACTTTAAATGGATAAAATAAATAGAATGTAAATTATTTCTCATTAAATCACTTTTAAAAATAAATCTTGTTTCTATCAATCTCATTCCCACTGAAAACAGTTTTAATTGGTAGTGAATGTGTATTTCATTCCTGAGCCCAAAGATAGAATATTCACACAATTTGAATTTTGAGAGTAAGCTTGTCAGTACCTTTTCCTCTCGCAGACATGACAGACTTAACACAGTGGGAAAGAGTAGTCTCAGCTGTATGTCATGGTTTCAGCAGGAATCCTAGGAATGGGACCTCTTGTGAAGGAAAGAAAATCTTTCAAAGCGGGTAGTACGGTACTGTGATTAAGAACTTCAGCTCCTTAGGCAAATAAAAAGTTCATAAATCCTGACCCATCAACCTACTATGTTACTTTAATAAGTTACTTAACCCCTTTCAACCTTAATTTCTTCATCTGTACAAGGCAACGAATAAAAACACCACTTGAAAGTGTTAATGTAAAAATTAAATGAGACAGTCCATATGAAGCAATTGCATAGTGCCTGCTCTGTAGTAAGTATTCAATAAGTGTTAGCTGCCAGATGTATTGTTTTTTGCTTTTTTTGGTTTTTGGTACCGGGATTCAAACTCAGGACCTTGCATTTGTGAGGCAAGCGGTGGCACCACTGAGCTAAATCCCCAGCCCAAGATGCATTGTTTTAATTGAAATGAGACTGAAGCAAAACAAGATAAGGAAAAGTAAAGCACCCTCAGCTTTGGAGTCACACAACTCTGTGAATGTGACCAGAGAAGTCATTTATTGAGCCTTAGCTCCTCTGTAGTAATGAGGATAATAATCCTTTATGGAGGAAGGCTCAAATGGTGTATCAGAAATATCTCCTTGGGTTGGTG